AGCAAGAGGCGTTTGAAGCCATTAAGGCCGCCTTCACCAAGGATGGTCTCATACTGCGTCGCATCGACTACTCTCACCCACTACTACTGCATATGGACTTCTCCAATAAGGGCATAGGAGCCGTCCTTGGGCAAGTCGATGACGATGGTAACGAGTACATGTGTGCTTACATCAGCCGCTCGCTCAACAAGCATGAGGCCAACTACAGCAGCTACAAGGGAGAGATGCTGGCCGCCGTGTGGGCTGTGAAGATGTTCCGGCACCACCTGATCGGCGGCCCTCCATTTAGGCTGATTACCGACCACCAACCACTGCTGTACCTTATGAGCTCGGAAGGGCTTACAGGACAATATGCACGCTTCACACTAGCGCTGCAAGAGTACAATTTTGTCATCGAGCATCGGCCGGGGATCAAGCATCAGAACGCGGACACCCTGTCCCGCAACCCCGCGCCAAGCAATGCTGACAACACTGGCGCCCGGCTTGATGAGGACGAAGGAGTTGCGGAGTCTGCACTTCTCGCCCCGGCCTTCATTGCTGCATCCGTGCGGGTAGCGTGGGCTGACCATCAGCTGGCAAGCGCCACCATCCATACAGTGGTATCCGTTGCCCCATTCAGTGACACCTTCTGCCCCAGCCCAGAGAAGAACCTCTGCGGATGGAACGGTTGGTGTTTTGAGTCGCTTGAGCCGCCTCCCGAGGCCGAAGATGCTCAGCGAGCCACAGCCCGGACCCAGCTGCAAAGCCTCGCAACTGAGTGGCTGTCCGCTGCAAAACGTTCCGGTGGGCTTAGTCCCTCGGTGCCTACAGACCGTGACACCCTGAAGGTTTCAGTGGGAGCCCAGTTCTTCCCACTGGCTACCCAGAAAGGAGTCACACTTTATGAGCCGCTAGGCGGCATGTGTGCGGGCCTTGAGGCCTGTCTGCGCAATGGAATTAGGGTCAACAAGTATCTGTACTCGGACACAGATCAGCATGCAAGGATGGTGGCCGCTGCACGACTGCCCGGACTCAGCGCTGCCTAACCCCAGTTATTTCCGCTCATGGCATGGAGCGATGCATTTATAGCATTACCTTAGGACGTCCGGCAAGTCACAGGTCTGGAGCTTAGGCTGGCAGGAGCTCAGGAGGGTAGCCTGTGGTTGGTCATCGCGTTCTGGAACACTCAGTCAGCTGATGCAGTGCCCAAGGTTTTCAGCATGTTAAACGAGCTTCAGGCGCTCGTTACTTCACTTCACCCGGCCTGCATACTTGGCTGTACGTCCCTGCCGCCTTCAGCCCAAACACCCGAGTCCGAAACTGCGGAGAAGGAGGCTAGCCAGATGCTCGGGAGAGCCACCCTTACCTATGCTGCATGCTTCGGCTCGTATTCCCACTGTCTTTACCAATGTTGGAGTAACCTCGTGTTGCCCGAGGAGTTCACCTGTGTCGTGCAATCTGGCATCCGGCCTACCAGCAGACAGCTCCAAGATGTGCTTAGCAATGAGCATTTTGCACCCATTCCCTCGCGTCAGATGCGCTATCCATACTACCCCTGTGACCATGCTGGAAAGCCCGTCCGCGCGCTTTATCCAGGCTCAGTGGGGCAGCGTGGCTCGGATGTTGTGGGGAGTATCGCCACTCCGCTGTACAACAATATCACCACTCAGTATGATTCCCTGTATCCCGGGGAGTGTGACCTCGTGTTGGGTTATGAGGCGGGGGCATCAGCCGCTCCTGGCCTGCTCGTCTCTCTGTGCTGGCCAACACAACTGACCAGGCACTTATATCCAGTGTTGTTGCAATCCTGCACGCCCTGGCGCAAGATGCCGTCTACTTCCCCGTCTTCGTGGTGCTGTGTACCTTCATTCTGTTGCAGCTGGTGATTGCGGTTCTTAGGGAGAACCTTCTGGAATCGGATGACGGCGGTGACGAAGCAGAAGCAGCTCGCCCGGTGCCTAGGACTGCCATAGAGAGCTTTACTAAGGCCTGGTGCGCCTCCGTGGCGGAGGCTGCTGGCCCTGGCGGTGGCGGCGGCGGTGTCGGCGGCAGCGGCAGTGGTGGTGTCGGCGGCTTGCTTCACGCCTCTCTGTTGTCAGGTGTCTTGCCGGTCAGCCACCCGCCGCTGGGGGCCCTCGGGAGCGACCACCCGCGGCAGGAGGTGCAGCGCGTGCTGCTGAGGCTTCGGGTCCCTCTATACGAGGGCAACAAGGTGTGTGAGGGCAACCATGAAGCCGCCTGAATGGAAAACCGACTGGCATGCTGGCCTCTCACCTCTTTCTCTTTCTCTCTCGGACCTGCTCAGGCTCCTGTACGTGTATATCTCTTCGTGTATAGGCGTCCTCGTGTGTTGAGGTCTTGAAAGGGCATTAAGAGCGTCGGAGGCTTAGGCTTAGCTGTTGCTCCTAATCTCGCTGCCTCTGCCTCTTATCTCTCCCCTGCCCACATACGCGCCTACACCTCTGCACCCACCTCACCCTTCACACACCGCCTGCAGGTGTCGTTTATGGAGACGCTGCACGCGCTGGCGGGCAGTGTGTGCGCCACACCGCTGCCACCGCCCGAGGAGGACAAGCTGCACAGGAAGCTCAGCAAGCGGCTGCCGAAAGCCCAGCCGCACGCAAAGTACACCTCAGCGCATGTGAGAAGAGGCACCGTGATGATGGGGTGTGTGTTTGTGTGTGCCTGTGTTTTTGTATGCATGTATGTATGTATGTATGTTGTTACAGGGTGGTTAACTTCGCCAGCGGCCCCCTTTCCCGGGGCAGTCCCTGCTCTCCCCTGCTAGAGGGGCACCCTAATCCATTCACCCCATCCGACTTCAGAGTGTATTCGTTGGGTTCGGCAACTCACCACCAGCATCCAACCAAATCTAGCGGATCAACTGCGCATCAACTTCGTTCCTGGTCAGCTTGCAAGTTGATTTTATCACGTCCTAAATAGTCTATATGTTGGGGGGCCACCTCCCATTTGAACCCGGGTCGGCCGGGAGCAGAAGTCAGGCCTTAACCTCTGCCAGCCGCCTGCCGTATGTATGGATGGATGGATGGGGGGTTACAATACTGAACATGTGCCGGAGGCCGCAGCGGTCCCGTAAACTCTGTGTGTTACCCTTGGTTGGTTTGGTGGGGGGTGGGGGCGTGGCGCAGAGAGGGTTTCATGTGAACAGTGTAGTGTAGCGCAGCCGAGTGTGTTGTTACTCCTGTAAGGAGGGCCCCCTTGAGGACGACACAGCGCTCTCACGCTCAGCTCGCTCACGCCACATACTCTCACTCCACCGCACTCCTTCCTTTCTCTGTTCCAAGTCTGTTGCTTTCCATCCTAAGCAACAGACTTACCTCACACTCCAACCCTACCCTGCCTGCTATAGTCCTCTTCTCTTCCCTCCACTCCACTCCACTCCGCTCCACTCCACTCTACTTTATCCCGCCCGCCCGCCTCACTGAACCTCACTGACTCCGGTGGTGTGCCATGGCAGTACCATGCGGCCAACTCGGTGGCGGCTGCCGTACGGGGCTTCCTGGTACGACACAGCCTTAGGAAGGAGCTGGCGGCTTGCGAGACTAGTCCTGAGGAGGCATTGCAGCAGTAGCAGTACTAGCAGTAGTAGCAGTAGCAGCAGCATTAGACAAGGGGGATGGCAATGATGATGATGATGGAGACGACGACTACAGTGCAACATAGGCCGAGGCCTGTCCGCGGCCTTACGTCCGCAACCAACGCGACTGCAGACGGTGGGGTCTGCGCTGGCAGAGACGAAGAGGCACGGACGAGGAGGAGGAGGAGGAGGAGGTGGAGAGTGTTTAGGGGCGGGGAAAGCGAGGGACTCGGGACAAGGAGGGGCTGCCTGTTCTCTTCTCTCTCTCTCTCTTCTCTCTCTCCCCCCCTTCTGCATACCCCGGAGGGTGCTGGTGGTGCGCAAGTGGGGGGTTTGGAGAGTGGGGAGCTACGCATGTGCCGGTTCATCCATCACCCTCCTCCCTGGGCTGGGCGGCAGGCAGCGTATTATGGCACTGCACCTGCAGCTGCTCGTGTCCGTGTCTGTACCATGTCTCGGGAGGAGGGGGCGGAGGAGGAGGAGGAGGGTTGAAGAGGAAAGGACAAACAAGTCGGGAGAGGAGGGTGATTGCGTCTGAGGTGTGTGTGTTGGGGGCCAGGGAGAAGGGAAGCATACGGAGTGTGTGTGGTACTCTGTATGTCCTGTCTGGTATGGACCGGGCATCTGCAGGGTGCCTCACTTTTGTTCTCTGCGTGGTTCAAGTGCTATATGCATATAATTGCTAAGGATTGCGAGGAGGTTGCACCTATGTACGCATCCTCCTGAGGATTAACACTTATGAAGTGAACGAATATATTTCTTTATATGCACACTTCACACAAATGCCCTGGACCCGGACCCTGGACCCGGACAGCCGTCCTGTGATTGTGATTTTGGGGCTCCCGGTCTGGTCTGTCTTGTTTTTATAGGATGTTTTTATGTAAGAGCTGCCGATCCTATTATGGGGGGGGGTTATGTTGATTTGCTCGTTTGTTGCATATATGTGGTATTATAAAACTGAAGGTTTCCTGAGAGTAACGAAAGAAAACCAAGGTTTTCTGTGTATTTGCCGAGAGCGTAGTCGGCTGTTCGTTGGTGGTACGGCGGGGCCGTACTGGTGAGAACGAAGGGCAAGTCGCGGAGAGCGCGACGGAAAGAGTAATTTCGCGAGTTTATATAGTCAGTACTGACAGGTTTCCACTGCGTCATCTGCCCATTACACCGCCCCGCGGCAGATAGCGCATTCGGTAACCATGTTCCCTCTTCTCGGCTTAGAGGTCGCCCTAGTGGCAATGTTTGCGGGCATAGTTATGATGCCAGCTAAGCGTAGAGTAGGTGACCAATTGGTCGAGCTCCAGAAGGTGCACGCAGACCTGCAACCCAGTTGACTGCCATTGAGCAATCCGACGACTACCAGAAGGCCGCCTCCCTGCTGGCCTCTGACCCTCTGGCTCGCTTAAACAAGAAGAAGTTTTCTACCGCTATGGGCCACGCCTGGGATACCTACGTCTCCTTGAAGAATCAAATGGCGAGCGTCAGCGTGAACATCGCTCAACTGGAGATGACCATGGAGCAGCCAGCTATGAAAGTTCTCGTTTCCGACAAGTCTGGTCGCGTCATGGAGCGCCCATTTAAGGACCTGGACTACGTCAACGACAGCTGGGTCAACAAGTCGGACAAGGAGCACAAGGCGCTCAAGTGTGAGAACCGGGAGCTGAACCAAATTTACCATGCCTTTCAGAAGGTCAACCGCAACCTGGAGGACGAACGCGAGGCGCGCCGCGACGAGGCCCCACCGGAGCAGATTGAGGAGTTGGAGAAGGCAACTAACGACACCATCACCGAGGGTGAGAGCTTGCTCACGGACCTGAACACGCGGCTGTGTAAGGCTATGTTGGTGGGTTGGGAAACCGTTGAGTTGTTGGACCTCCCTGACTGCTGCAAGTCCGAGGAGGAGCGTAGCAAGCTGTTGTCCGTGGACAAGTGTGTTGCTGCTGAGAAGGAGTGTGAGTGCAGGGGTAACAAGCCCTCGGCACAGAAGCAGTTCAGTGCGGGTTTCCGTCAGCGCCAGTTCGTGGCGCCCTCGCCCGGCTTCGGCCAGGTGCAGGTCGGGTTCGGGTCCATGCAGGGCGCAATGCTACCGCACCAGGCGCTGCCTTTCACACCGGGGCTGCAGTTTGGGGGCATGGCCCCGATGGGTCAGGGCGGCGGCAAGCCGCCACAGGCCCTGAAGCCGACGGATCAGTGCCATAGGTGCAAGCAGTTTGGGCACTTTGTGAACATGTGCTCGAACCCACCTGCGCCACGGTGAGGGCGGTGGGCCGGCAGTGCGGTTTGTGCGCGTCAGGGCGCGTGAGTGAGAGTGATAATGGCCCTATCGGGGGGCAGGACCTGACTGGCATGTAGCCACAACTTGAGTGTGAACGCCCAGAGTGGTGTAGCCCATCGGTGGGCTGGTTGCAGGCCCGTGCACTGCTGCTATGTGCTATGACGTCCCGGAGAGACGTAGACCCCCTCGAGGGGGGAGTGTCGGACTGTCGAAGGCCCGGTGAGCCTTACGTGACTTTGCCCGGCTCACGGCCGGTTGCCCATGTGTAACATGCGTTCAGATTGGGCCGAGTCCCACGAGGGTGGTGACATCATTCAAGGTGCCGGGCCGCCTGCCGCGTCTGGCAACATCAATGTGAACGCCAACTGGTGGCTGTCGGTCTGCTCCAGCTCGTGGACCAAGCAGTGGGTGCAGCAGGGTTTTCTGTTGTGGTGGAAACAGGCAGGCGTCACACCGCCACCGAGGGTCACCGAGGGTCAAATCACCAAGGGGTGCTGGAGCAGCAGGCCTTTGTTACCGAATCCGTCGCAGCACTTCTGGCAGCAGGAGCTGTGCGGCAGGTTAGTGTGCACCTGCGGGTCATTAACCCCTTAAATGCGATACCGAAGCCTCGTCAGCCCGGCAAATCCCGCTTACTCCTTGACCTGCAGTATGTCAACCAGTACATGTACTGCCCAAAGTTCAAATTCGAGAAGCTGACCGACTTGGAGCAAATTATCCAGCCGAACGACTTGCTTATTAGCGCAGACCTCACAAACTCTTATTGGCAGCTCCGGATGTGCAAGGATGCCTGCGATTACCTAGGCTTTGAATGGGAGGGTCGCTTTTACGTGTTTACAGTGTTGCCCTTCGGGCTCGTGTCTGCCCCGTGGGCATTCTCTAAACTTATGCGCGACTTTTCAGCCTACCTGAGGGGCAAAGGCTATCGGCTCATTAACTATCTGGACGACTTCCTGTTCTTGTTGGGGTCGGATTGCACCACAGCTGCAAGCCGGCGGGATGAGATCGTGTGTGAGTTTGAGCGGGCAGGCATCACCATGAATAAAGAGAAGAGTGTGCTGACTCCCACTACGGAGGTGCGCTGTCTGGGTTATTTGGTTGACAGCACAAAAGGGGTGTTCGTAGTCCCACCAGACCGTTGGGAATCGTTCCAGGGAGCGGTCACGGAGGCCTTAGCATGGCTTAGCATTCCAGCCAGGACCCTGGCACGTGTCGTGGGACACACGGTGAGCATGTACGTTGTAGTCGGGCGCTTGGGGCGTCTCTTCACGCGGGCGTCGACAGCCCTGCTGCCCGACTGTTGGGGGTGGTCGAGTGAGGTCACGGTTACCCCGGAGGTACAGGAGGAATTACGCTTTTGGCAGTCGCTAGACCGGGAGCGGCTGACTAGCCCTATCCGGCGACCCCCGGAGGTCAACATGCTGGAGGTAAACACCGACGCTAGTGCTACAGGCTGGGCGGGTGTTGTGTCAGGCCCAGGGCTACACTCAGTGCAACCGGTCGCGCGGGGGTATTTGTCATGGGACTTGCGTCGTACTTCGTCGGGGAACCGCGAGCTGGCGGCTATCTTCTTTTCTCTCGAGTCCCTGAAGGAAGAGCTGTGAGGGTGGCGAGTGCACTTGCTGACGGACAGCCAGAATGCAGAGCGTATCGTTGATCACGGCAGTTGGAAGGCACACTTGCAGGAGTGGGCCTTGAAGATTTTCTGGTGGTGCAAGGAGCACCAGGTGCAGTTGAGTGTGTCCTGGATCCCACCAATTTCGGTAACCAGGCTCGCCTCCTCCCACGGAAGCAAGCACACTCTTCTGCTCACAGGTACCCAAGCTTGACTCACGTCTATAAGCGGTAAGGCAACTACTCATGAAAACGGGATCAATATTAATATATTGCGCTTCTATCTGTGTCTTATTAACGGCGGCGGCAGGATAGGGGATGGCAGCAATGAGGAGAGCTACATATGGCAGCTGCCATGACGACTTGCAACCCTCCGGAGGGTGTGGATGATGATTGGCATCGTTGTATTGCTTCGAGCCTATTGCTTAGCTGGCTGGAATGGTCAACAGCCTTGAATTATCGCAATTATCGTAATTTGATGATGGGGTGGTCCACAGCAACAGATTGCAAATTTGCGCATATGTGCACGCGTATGCATACCCGTGGTGTTCATGTGTGTCGCAATGGCACGTGTACTTTGTTGTACCACGTCTTATCGCAGGAAAAAAACCGATCGGCGGATGCTAGATCCCGTGATACCCAGGATACTACATACTCATGTGTGTGTATGTGTGTGAATGTTGCATGTTGTTGTTGTTGATGCGGATTGGGAGGCTTCTGGGCCATTTGCACACACGTGTGGATGGTCACATCTAGGATTGAACACCTTACAGCACCATCCACCACAGCACTACACCACACGGGGTTACTAAGCCATACCCGGACTGCAAGTCCAAGACGGTTGATTCTGCCTTCAGCCGCCACCAATCGAACATGAGGATTACCGATTGTGTCGACATCTAAGCAATTAGACATTTCACGATTTCGAGATCTCTTGATCGTATTGTGTACCGGCTGCTACAGGATCGAACCTAGGTCATCAAGCCGCAAATTGCTGTCGTGTTTACAGTGTGTGTGTGTCCGTGTATAGACGCGTGTGTATGTGTCTCTGTAAGTGTGTGAGCATGCATATACCTGTTTGTGTATGTGTATATATATTGTGTAAATGTGCGTCTGTGGGGTGGTCGGAGTGTCCGGCTTCCGAGCAGTGAGGCACGAGTGAGCAGTGGTATTCTATCTAGCAGGGTGGTGCGCAGGTATAACGGTGGGGTAACGTATCGCATCGGCGCCACTGTGTGTATGCGTGTGTATGTATGTATGTATGTATGTATGTGTGTGTGCTTCCGTCAATCGGCAGCAACATGAAAAGAGCCTCGCAAAGCACTGTTCTGTGCTCCTGTCTCCCTTAACCGTATTCTCATGGCTATGTCAACTTGAACGTGCTGGCTGACCGTGCAAGGAATGGTAGAGACGGGAAGCGGGGAGACCAGCTGCCAAGGGCCCTTACACTGCAGTAGAACACAACCCCAGCCAACCACAGCCGCGCGACTATGGCCCCTTCGGCCGCCACACCACCACCGCACAGCCAAAAAACACTCCTCCCCCTCCCCCGAGGCAACACGCGCGCGACAGACAACACAGAACGCGAAACCAGAAGACGCCCAACGACCACCACAACAAACTCACGACGGCGACCCTAACGTCCTGAAGCCCGAGTGAAGACACCGGCTCGGTCCTACGGTGAGAAGTGCCCCCTACCAAAGCTCTCAAGGCCACGCTACTAGGCTAAAAGACCCGGCCGCAACCAATTCATCCTCAACCCTCAACTCCCGACCCGCCTGCTGTCTAGCCACTCCTTAGCGAGCGTTTTCCACCGGTCTGCCGCCAGCCGAGCCCGGTGTGGAGGTGTCTGGGACTGACCGGTGGAGAAGGGAAAAGACAGGGGGGGGGTGAAAGAAGAGATAGTTACCGTGAGACCAAGGGGGAAGGTGGGCGGGAAACTGTCAGCTAGAAGCTGAAGCGATTATTACTCGCCATTTCAATACAGTTGTACGACAGTCACACAGAACCAGACTTAGAGACTCCGGTCGCTTCACTCCGTCGTATCTAAGTCAACAATTCTGTGCTCCTGTCTCCCTTAACCGTATTCTCGTGGCTATGTCAACTCGAACGTGCTGGCTGACCGTGCAAGGAATGGTAGAGACGGGAGACCAGCTGCCAAGGGCTCTTACACTGCAGACCGAAGAGATACCCCCTCACCAGCGAGGCCTAGGCGGCGGGAGACTTCAAGCTTGGCCGCAGTGTCGCGCTGCGTGTAGTGCTGTACCATGGCGCCAGCGGCCATGTGCCTTGCACAACTCTGCCGGGACTCCATGGTCCGCTGCCGTGCTGTTCCCGTATGCACATGGAGTGCGCCTTGATGTGCCGCGTGATGCCTGCCAGGGATACCATTTTTAGCAGTCGTGTGCGGAAAGCCATGTAAGATGGAGAATGCAGTGGTGAATACCGGTCAGGGGACCCGAGAGGTACTCGCCACGCTGGGTCCATTGGACTGGTCGGAGGAGTGGTCCCATGTCTTCGTCTGCTGATACTGGCCGTCTGCGGTAGCCACCTAACTCCGGCAAGTGCTGCGTAAGACCGACTGGGCAGCATGGGCCCCCGGAGCGTGCAATGACGACCCGGTGGCCACACATGAGCTGGTCTGTCTTCGAGCGGGGAATGAAGATTTCCATGTGGGATGTGGAAATCAACAGCAAGTCCTCATGCATGCAAGTTTCAACAGCGTCATCGAACTGGAAGAAGCCAGCAAACATGATAGCCACTGCTGCCACCATCATCAGGTAGTCTAGACGCGCCTCTGGGCCCTCCACTAGACTGGCAAGTGCCACAATGTCATCTGGCTCCAAGGCGTCACACTGCAGCGGTCGACCATGGAGCCACTTTTCTGCGAAGGTGCAGATTATGGTGCAGGCTGTCTGTTCTGTGGAGTAAGGCCAGTAGGTAGAGGGCGATCAGCTCGGCCCAACATCATGACTCCGTGAACAAAGGGTTCAAACCATGCACCATCAGTGGTGATCCTGGCCCACCAATCCATGGTCGGCCAGTGTGGTGCGATCAGGCACATGCAGGCCATGCAAGCCTCGCTGTGCAGCAGCACCTTAAGGATCAGGCTGAAAGGCGGATTGGCCCAGCAGCTGCACCCCCAATGGAAACGGAAGGCGTCGACCCCGGCAGTGTCCAGCGTGAAGAACCTGGAATAGTACACTGGGAGCTGTCGATTGGTATGCGATGCGAACAAGTCTATGTAGGAAGGCCCCCACTTGGAGCTCAGCGTTCGAAACACAGTAGGTTGGAGCATCAAGTCGTCGGTCTCCTTCAGCTTCGACAGGAAATCAGCAAGCCGGTTTTCTTCTCGGGGTCGCCACTCAGCCTGCAGACGGGTGCCCTGCTCGAAGCAGAATTCATGCAGCTCGCAGGCGGCCACATAGGAGTTATCGGCATTTTTGACGATGTTAGCGGTGTTGAGGTTGTCCGTCAGCACCTTCACTGCCCTGCCGGATAGGCCAGTGGGTCGGTTGAAGGACTGGCTTGCTAGAAGGATGGCGTGGAGCTCCTCCGGTGTGGACCCCATCTCGCTAACGTTGGGCTGCCAGCTGCCTCGGGCCACAATTGGTTTGCTATCCAGAACTGTCCAGGTGCCCCAGCCGCCTAGGGAAGCTGCCGACTTGCCAGCTGCGTCGCAAAAAAACAGAGAATGCACCTGGGTGGGAACCCATAAATGGCGGCGGCCGTTAAATTTGTCAAAGGAATTCTGCCAGAATTCCAGCTCCTCCTTCACGGCTGGTGTCACGACATTTTAGCGTCACGTTCATTTTACCGTCTATTATAATCGTCTTAGGTTGTTATCGGTATGAATACGCGAATATCGTGTATAATCGCGTAAGGTGTTTGGTTCTTATCTTACACTCGCTGATCGACTTATGGACGAGATGAGAATGTACGCTCGTTTGCGTATGTTTATGTATTTTACCTGTGAATTGTTCATCTCTTGTGTGAATGTTCTATCACACGGTTATAAGGTGTTTCACTTGTGTCATTTGTGGACTCGAGGCTTATCTTTTGAGGGCCTCCTGTGATCGACAGTGTGACTTCGGTATTTATAGCCGGCAGCGAGCTTGGAAAAGTCGCTTTACGGCTCATGATTGGAACATTGTAAAGTTCTCTGAGCTAGACAACAAGCCCTGTGCGGACCTCCCTTCTCATAAGCCGCATAAGTAACTTACCCAAAACAGCCGAACTCCTTTGTGGGCCGCTCAACGCCCATAACCTTCACGCCGGGCAAACTCAGTCGGTAAGGTAAGTCCTTATCGCTGTTGATTGATTGTCTGGAGGGAATCTTGGCCCCTTTCGCGGGTTGCTATTTGCTGCGTATTACTACTTGCCCGTTCGTGTGCCGTCTAGTCAGCATTCAAGCTACCTGCAGGACTTCGCCTAGACCACCCTGCGTCAATAGCCGTAAAGCCTAAATCAGGCTAGAAGACCAAGTAAGTTTGGTTTTGGGTTTACCTTAGGTGTTCTGTCGCCTAGGGGATATTCGGGTTGCTTTTCCCAGCACCCTTTTTGGTAGGTTAGGTAGGCTAGGTCACGCCAGCCGTACCTGTCAGCAGTGTTACGCACAGCTGCCTTGCCAATCAGCAATTTTGGACCATTTCTTTACTGGTTCGATTTGCTTGCGTATTCGGTCACTTTCACAATCGATACTGTGTTACGCACAGCCGTCTGTTGAACATTCGATCCCGAATACTTGATACGATCTACTCGTTTTACCATCTAGGCTTGGCCAGCCCAGCCTAACATTATTCTCATACTTTATATTCAGCTCACCTGAACAGCAGGTTCGAGCTCTTCTGTGCTTAACGAGCATTTCGCGTACCTCTGGCCGAATTATACGGGGTCACATCAATTCTTTTGCTTTTACTAGCCTCAATTCGCTACTGCAGTTTACATCGAGGCAGTTAACCCCAGGCCACTCAGAGGACGCCCGGGGCGCAGTCCCTTTTGGTTTTCACACCAACACTTTTCTTCGCCGTGGTGTTCGGGCCACTCCAGTCAGACACCGGCACCATCGGCTGATTCCACATATCTTCGAGCCTCTTGGCAAATTCCCTGAACTCATTTATATAGGTCTTTTGGCTCGCGGCGTTAGGGTCGACATCGAGCCGCGACCGGTCATTTGCAATATCCGCTACCTGTTAGCTGTGCAGCTATATCCGGACCTGGACCAGCTTCCCAGGCCGAGGCAAACTATTGTTATCAGCACAACAGGTGGGGCAATTTCCCCTATTTGAATACGGAGACTTTTGTGCGCCTAAGCGCAATGATATGATGGAGTAAACGCTGCAAGCTTATCGAGTCGGTACTCTACACTTTCCCGACCCAGCGTTACCAATTATTCCAGCTGTTTTTACGCAGCTACTCTTTGTTTTGCAGCTCAATACAACGCAACTTTACAGCGACACCAGCTTAGGTGGGGCGGGTTTAGTACTCTTTAGTAGTCGCTATAGCCTAGCTAGGCTTTTTATTGCTTAGTCCTTGCCTGTTCGCTTCGCGTTTGTTGCTGCATCTTTCTCTTTTCCTTTTTCTCATCTTCTTGTTTTTCGTAAGCTAATTATTACACAGGGTAGCATAAGTCCCACGGAGCCGCTACGTCGCAACATCCCGCGGGCCGCCACTGCGCAACATCTTCGCTCGACGAGTCAGCGAGATCAGCAGGAGGTAAGCAAGGTTTCGCGTAAGGATACGCGTAGGGTGTCCACCTCAGGGTCTAGTACTAGCGAAGCCGCCCGTATTCCGCGCTCGCGTTCCGATAGTGGCCTAGCAGTACAGGTGGAACTTCCCCTGACTAAGTTAGCTCCAACTCAGGGTGAGGTTACTGCTCCACTAGAAACTACCGGAACAGATTCCGATAGGGAGAAGTGGTCGCGTCTCTTTGAAGCGCTAGGTAGGCCCCGCACCTACATTAACCCTATCTTTTCTAGGGACAGCGATTCTGACGACGAAATCATGCAGAACCTTTACCCTACCCTCGACCCGTTCCAGCACAACGGGTTGGATGACTTCCTCACTAAGGTTTTCCAGCAAGGGGTTGCCTACCCTCTCACTAGGAACAACTTGTCTGTTGAGAGCCTCAAATCGTACCTTGACGCACTGCCTGGTCGTAACACGCCATTCGAGGCGTGGTACAACTCCCACAGACCTGACCTCATAGCCAGAGCTGCAGCACACTTCAGAGTAGCTGAACCAGGTGCGGCGGCCAACGCCATCTCTCCTCGCCAACTATACGACTACTACGCCCACATTTTAGAGGAAAACTTTGCCTCCGCGCGCGCGGAAAGTGATCTAGCGCGCTTCAAAAGCATCCAGCAGGGAGCTCTTTCTCCGATAGTCCTTAAGGATATGCTGATAGCGCTTGAGAAGAAGCTAGACGGCAGAGTCAGTAAACACCAAGTCGCCGAACGCTTCCTTGAGGGCTTAAACCCCGTGGTCCGGAAGCACTTGGAGAGGCACCTAATTACTGAGGAGCGTACCAAGTGGTACGATCGTTTGGAGAAGACGGCACAAGAGGCTGAGGTTGTGTGGAACAACCTTCCGTTGGAGGACAGAGCAGTGCAGGTACACAAAAAGCCGCCGCAGCAGAAGAGTGCAGCAGAACCGCTCATCAAGGAAAAACGCACCTTTTTACTGCGAGAAGCACGGCACCAATACATCTCACGATACGGCGCAGTGCCGTGTCTTAAATCCCCCAAAGTCGAAGTCCGCGCTTTTGACCTCTGACATCCCCTCCGGAATTGTTGAGCGTTTGGTTGCCTTGAGTTCCCAGGGACAGGGCAGCACGTCGAGCTCAGGGGGGTCCAGGGGAATGGGTGGGCAAAAGCAGAAGGGGGCTGGGCCATCTAAGCCCGAGCAGGGACAGGGTGCTAGCGAACCGCGGGGGAATAGGCCATCTTGCGAGTTCTGCGGAACCATGGGTCACCAGCAGAGCAAGTGCTTCATTTTTGGGCGGGGCCCCAGCGCGAAGCGCCCAGGGGGGCCCCGACCTGTAGGATTGCCCATGTCCGTGTGTGTGTGTGTGTGTGTGTGTGTGTGTGTGTGTGTGTGTGTGTGTGTGTGTGTGTGTAACGGACCAAACAGAATATTTCACCCGGCTGAAACGCGTTATCGGTACTATACAGCATTCTCTATTGCAAGGTATCTCGCATGTAGCTAACAAAGACCGTATGAGCACAAACAAGTTTAGCTGCCTCCATTCACCGACCTCAAAAGCCACATCAACGCCTCTCGCGCTAAATTTCATCCCAAAAGCTGCCGCGTATCTCACAATGGAATTCTGAGATGGCGGCGTATGATAACTCGAACACCCAGCTTGTGTTACCATTTGCCGGCATGGGCAATCCGACTTGCCACCAGCAGGCCAACATAATTTGCTTTCATTTCTCTATGAAATACACAAGCTCCTTGTTTGTACATTTACTTTGGCCAATGCACGGGGCCTCCTGAGACTTGCGGTGTGCCCCGATGAACCCCGCGGCTGTGGGGCAGATTGCTGAGGCCGCTGGCGCTTCGGGGATAAACATCACAGACAGCACCGAAATTCACCCAGCTTTCGTTACCATTTGCCCGCACGGGCATTCCGACTTGCGGTCTGCCGCACTGTCCATGCGGCATGCACCCGGAATGGATGCGATTCGCGTGGAGCCCGCAGGCGGTGCTGACGATTCCGCCGGTGCAAGCTTAGCTCTCACACCATCAGCACTGCTGCAACAAAGCATATCTCCCACCGCGTTGACACTACCCATCAATTGTCACCCTTGCCACCCTTGCTACCGGCCTGTACGGATGCAGAGGGGCCCCGCCCTTTTTCCGGCTTCCTTGAAGCCGACACCCAACTTGTCCACCCCGAGCTTGCTCCCACGGGCTACGAGCCTGCTAATCCAGCCCTGAAGGTTTTATTTCTGCAGCGCAAGAAGGCGGTTGAAAAGAAGGCGGCCTTGGCGGCGGCTGTTGCCGCAGCTTTCGAGGATGACTTCGCAGCAGAGGACGAGGGGAATGAGGAGGCGGCCTGCTGCACGACGCAGTTCCATGAAGCAGCGTCGAACGCTTCTCCCAGCCAACAGGCCAGGATGGCGCCGCTCACATGGACGCGCAGCACACAAGAGGTAAGGTACAACAGCTTAGCCACTATGCATTCGCAGGCTGTTCCTAAGTCCGGACTTAGGAACTCATAGGGGGTCTAACAGCGGCTAACAGGCGTGCCTGTTAGGAAATGTTAGCCTAACAGATTCTCTAACAGTGATGGGGCTGTCAGACGATGTTTGGGCTGGCGGTGGGTGGATCTGGCTGTTAACAACCATGTTGGAGAAGTAGAACAGGAATTGGTGCTGTTAGCCGTTGTTAAGGCTTGTCAGATGTTTTCAGACTGTATTTTAGCTGTGTCTCACGGTGTTGATGGATAACCGATGAATAAACGGGGATTCCGGACCGGCTCCGGTCATCGCCGGACCGGCTGCCGGACCAAAATAACCAGCTTCCAGTCCGACTGTGCAAGCGCCTCATTCACTTGGCACCAAATAAAATTCCCATTATTTTAAGCAATCCAATTTTTTTGTTTTCTGTCGGACATTTTGATTTTGTGGACGACGAGCTCCATTAAGCCTCCCGTTCGCTCAACCGTTCCATCTAGCCTTCCATCAAGCCTGTTTCCCAGCTTTAAAATTATCAGGCTTTGATTTAGCTCATATGCCTAACGTAGATATCATATAGCTGCGCGCAATGGAGCAGATGTATGACAATGCGCGCCATGGCGGCAATCTCGTATGGGTCGCGGCTGCGGGGCAGGAGGTCGAGGATGCAGTGGAGCATGCAGTAGAGGAGCCGCCTCGGTAAGCTTACTTCAGCCTACTGTGCCTTGGTTTCATGGTGGATGGCGTTACTTCCTTGAGCTGGAGGCTATTGTCACCCCTGTGCACCCTGAGATGTACAAATGTCCTGTAAAGGCAGCGCAAAAGGTGACTCTCCGAAGAGTTCTGGCTAGCGGGGCTGGGGAGGCGGCAGCGGCGGTGCAGAGTGGTGGAACACGCAGCGGGGCTGGGGAGGCGGCAGCGGCGGTGCAGAGTGGTGGAACACGCAGCGGGGCTGGGGAGGCGGCAGCGGCGGTGCAGACTAGGTGGAACGGGTGGCGGGGCTGGGGAGGCGGCAGCAGCGGTGCAGACTAGGTGGAACGGGTGGCGGGGCTGGGGAGGCGGCAGCAGCGGTGCAGACTAGGTGGAACGGGTGGCGGGGCTGGGGAGGCTGGGCGACACAAGAAGCAGTGTACCAATGGTGGTGCTTCTAGATCCAATTGCGGCAAGGGTGCGCAGGTTCTAAATGCTTACATGCTGTTCTGCAAGGAGCAGCATGAGTTGGCAACTTCTCAGGGCACCACCATTCATGTGAAGTACGGGGTGCCATCAGCAGGCGTCTCCGGCCTGCTGGGCAAGCTGTGGTCGGAGTTGCCCCTGGCGGAGAAAAGTGCATACAGTGAGAAGCTGCCGCGCTTAAGGCGGCTAAGGACAGCTTCGATACCTGAGGCCAGACCCTTGCCTTTCTGTGATGTAACCGTTGCTTGTAATCAACCACATCCCAACCTGTCAGCAAATTCCCAGGACAGCTTCGGTACCTTAGGCCATACCCTTGCCTTTCTGTTGCACAATGTGTCCGCAATCAGGCTTGGTGCGGTCGGGAGGTTAGGTAACGTGGGGCTGACAGCTGGGTGGGAGAAATCCGGGGTAACGTGCTGGGTGCGGGTTCCGTGGTGGATGTGCGGACCAGCGCAGGGTACACGGATCAAGTTCGTCGAACAACCTGTCAGCCGACAGACTTGGTGTCGTATCCAAAAGCCTAAACACA